ATTCTTCCCGGGCTGATCAGGCAGCAACATCAACATAAAGTGAGACACAACTAACTGGTTTCTTGCGTGGGAATTCAAAAACCCCGCCCGAACTGATGCTCCATAGATAGTCCTGAGTTTTCCATCAAATTTAGCTGAACCTGGAAGGTCTGGCATTCCACACACCCAAATAACTCTCATAACTGGTGGGAGGCCAACATGTGAGCACTGGCTCCCAAGAAAGGAGCGAGGTCTTGAACAGACAGGGGAGGGTGGCTCAGCCTCCTTATGGTTCTGTCTGAAGCCCTAGCAGGCCAAGTGGGGGGACCAGGCTGCATGATCGGGTCACCTAGGAAGGTCGGCACCTCTGGTTGTCCTGGCCCTGGGAGCCTGGGCTGACTGGACAGCCAGGAGGGTGGGGGTCCTCCTGTGGACCGAGCACTCATGCGCCAAGCTCAAGGCACGCCTGCCGTTCCACAGTGCCTGCTGCACAGCCCAGCTTCTCCCCCCTCTACACGAGCACCACCCTTTGTTGAAAAGGAAAACTACGCTGGCTCAAGGGACACCCTGGTGCCCCCTTGCTGATGTCTCCACTGTCAACAGTGTGCAGGATCTCTGCACAGCAGGGCAGGGCCCAGGGTCAGAGAGGGTAGATTCTCTTCAATTGTCTGTGAGCATCTCAGCAACATCTGGGACAGCAGGGCCCGGGCACGGTGTGAGGTTCACCAAGCACATTTCATGTGCACATGAAGCTCTGGCTGGCACACACAGAGGAGCCACCCCAGTTTCCCTCAGTGTGCAGGCAGGGGGCCCCAAATGAGCCAGCACATGGCTTTCTCCTATTCCTGGGGGTGGGGGTGGGCTTCTGAATTCTCTCACTCCTTCCGGCCTCTCTGCTGCTCTGCCCAAATTATTTGGATAAAGGGCAAAGAAAACATCTCCAGCCTTCAGCCTGACCCTTAGGGAGCAGTCTTGCAACGTACACCTTCTCCTGGGCATTTCTTGGATTACAGAGAAAACAAGAGTGAGCTATGGAGTCAGCGTGGAACTACGGCGGCGGCTGGTTTGGAGTTGCACAGCCGGGCTGTCTCGAGTGTCGACCGGCTCACCCCCACTGTCGCCTCTTGCGCCCTCGTAGCTTCAGCCGTCTGGCTGGCAGGCTGACGGGCTGCTTGCCAAACTTCTCCATGATCTCCCGAATTCTGGCCAGGTTGGTTTTGCTGAGTATGAAGTCACAGCGAGTGGCCCCCATGTCATAGCCCACCATACAGTTCTTGGTGGACGCAGTGAAGCCTTCCGCCCTCGCAGTGACCACATACTCTCCCGGGTTCAGAAGGCGCCAGTAATCCCCATCGCTGGCTGTGAAGAGAACACAGGATGGGGGTTGAGAACCTTTGTCTCCTAACACAGACACCAGCAGCCCCATTCCAAGACCAGCCTGCCAGCCAGCAAGACTCCGGGGCGGAGGGCAGGGTGGAACCTGAGCTCCTGCGGATGCCAATCCTTGGGACACGTGAGAAACCAAAATGGTTTCCTCTCTGGAAGCTACCTTAATTGATTTAACAGGAAGGAAGACTGGGGTGCAGGCTCCCCACATTGCAAATGCACATGAGCAGAGATGGGGAAATGATCACTAACTCCTTCCTTGGTGACAATACACGCCATTCATTCTGAAACCTGCACTTGCAAATGTTAGGCCCTGACCACAAATGCCATCTTGAAAAGTCATTGCTGTGGGGCTTACTGGCTTCCCTTCACAGCTATAAATACAGAAAAATGGTTTTTTCAAAGAGCAGGGCTCTTCCTTTCTGAAGAAAAGGAGTTGGACGAGAGCCTAATGCATCTGGGAGGAGCCCCTGGTCCCCCTGTACCTCATTCCATGGCCCAGATTCTGGGAGGCATGTGGAGCTGCAGGAAGACGTAGGCCTGGTTCTGCAAGACAGAGCGGGGCCTGGGGCTCACCTGGCAAACGCCTACGGGACAGCTGAGGCTGAGCCCCTGCTCCTGCAACTACTGATGTTGTTAGCAGCGCTTGAGTTGACCCTGACTCACCGTGACCCACAACGAAACAAAAGGCTGCCCAGTCCTGTGCCATCTCCACAAAGGGTTACAGATAGCACTGCTGTGATCAACAGGGTTTTTGCCGGCTGATTCTCTGGAGGCAGATCAGCAGGGTTTCTTCCCAGATCGTGTTAGTCTGGAAACTCCACTGAAACCTGCTCAGCATCACAACGACTCGCCAGCCTCCATGGAGAGAGAGGTGGCTGCGTGTGGGGTGTACTGGCTGGGAATCGAACCAGGTCTCTCGCACGGAAGGTGAGACGTCTGCCACTGAACCTCCACGGCCTCCATTTCTCCTCCTTTAGCCCGTGTTGAGCTGCAGGTTCCATAAGAGCCTGCGTCTTAATCTTCAGTATTGAACAGCGTGTCTCACAGAGTAGATTCTCAATGAATGTTGGTTAAATAGAGATGAATATGAAACCAAACATCTTACTGGCATGAGAATCAGAACACACTAAGTCTCAGCTAATATGGCTGCCTTCTGCCCTAAACATCAGAGCCAAGCCAGTCAAGGCCAAAGGGTCCATAGTCTGCTAAAAGCTGCTCTGACCAATGGGGGCCTCTGGAGAAGACAGCCTCAGTGGGAGCTTCTGCCTCAGGGCTCACCAAGACCAGGGAAGGAGCAGCCCAAGCTCCCCCTGAGGGAGAAACTCTGTGAGCCAAGGAAGAGTGAAAGAAATCCTCAATCAATGAACACTCAGCACATCAATCCAAAATGAGTCAGAAGAAGCCTTCAAGACTCCCTTTTTCCTCAAATCCAGAAAGCCCGCTGTTACAGACTGAATTGTATCCCCCCCTAAAGTTTGTACTGGAATCCTAACCCCTATACCTGCAGATGTAACTCCATCAGGGAATAGGATTTTCTCTGCTATGTTGTCGTTAGGTGCCATCGAGTCCACTCTGACTCACAGCAACCCTTCATACAACAGAAGGAAACACTGCCTGGTCATGTGCCATCCTAAAGTTTTCCAGTAATACATCAGACAGTGTTTCACTGCTACGCATCCAGGTTTTCAGTGCCCAGTTGTTTCACGAGTACATCTCCATGGTCTTCTTCCGAGCCTGTCTTAGTCTCAAAGCTCTGCTGAAACCTGTCCACCATGGGTGACCCCACTGGTATTTGAAATACTGGTGGAATAGCTTCCAGCCTCACAGTGGCATGCAGCCACCACAGTACAGGCTGGCAGATGAGTGGTGGAGACACAGAGAAGGAAGCATAAATGGGGGAAAGACACATGCCACATGGAGATGGGTAGGGAGCTGAGGAATGCCGGGGCTACAGAAGCTGAGACAAGGATTTCTCTCCCGAGACGACACAGTGAGCTTTCCCCCAGAGCTGGTGGCCTGAATTCAGACTTCCATCCTCCTGAACTGTGAGAAAACAAATTTCTGTTCATTATAACTCCCCGCTTGTGGCATTTCCATTACAGCAGCCAGAGGAAACTAAGACATCTTCCCTCCCTGCTCCCTATATCTGTGTCATCCTCCCCGACCTACCATCCCCTGCTGGCCTCCTTCTTATACCAGCCATGGTGCCTACTCCTCAAACTTGCCCTTGGACAATAAAATCCAAACCTGCCAGTTGGACTAGCCTCGGTTCCTGCCCTCCCTGGCCACAGTCCACATCTCTGTATACCAACCAGCCAACACAAACATCCTGAAGTGACCGCCTAAATGGACCACATACATTCGCAGATTCTGGGCCTTTGCATAAGCTGGTTGCACTGCTGTTCCCCACCTCCTGTGGTGGGTCAATTCCCCTTTGAAAACTGATAGTAAGACCTTATTTAAATGCCTATAGTTTGTTTCTGTTTGCTTGCTTGTTTGTTTAACACCAAAACCTGCCTTCTGTAATGAAAAGCCTCCTGTGCGGTTCCCAGGCCTCTGCCGGATAAGTTTTGGGAGAAAAGCCAGATACAAATGACTCACTTATGAGAAGAAACAGATGAGCAGGTGAAGAGAGGAGGTGTCCTGGCTGCCTGAGGAGTCACCCCAAACTCATGACAGTGCCCATGACCCCTGGTGATGAGTGCTGTTGACCCTACCACATGACTGCATGCCACCACTCTCCCTTTGGTTGCTGTACTTCAGCCTTGTGGGTTTTCTTTGTGTAATTACTGTTCCCTCCAACTGAAATGCTGTTCTCTACTCTTCTAAAGGCCATCTTATGCTCAACACCAAAGACAGCCCCTCCTTGAGGAACCTTCCTTGGCTGCCCAATGTAGCGTACCCCTCCCCCACCTGTCTCTAGTACGTCATCAGCTTCCGCCTTTCTCGGCATGGATCAGTCTGCAATTCACGTTTTCACTTTCTTCAGAGTGGCTTGCAGGTCTCTTCCACACATGCACTCTTAGAAGTCAGAGGGCACACCCATCATGCCATCAAGGACCCAGAAGGTGCTCCATAACATGTATTGAAAGAGTGGATGAGTAATGCTTAGTTCACCCAATCAGAATATGAGGCAGAAACTCTGCAATCCTGTTCCCTTCCAACTCACGGTGCCCGTGTGTGCGCAGGAGACCAGCTCCATGGGGTCTTCAAGGCTGGGGCCTTTCAGAAACAGATCACCAAGCCTGTCTTCTGAGACCAGTGGGCAGGTTTGAACCACCAACCTTTCACTTAATAGTTGAGTGCTTAACTGTTAGCTCTACCCAGGGACTCGCTCTGCAATCTAGAAGTTTCCGTCTCTAGGCGCCAAGTCTCTCGTCTGCTGGCAGGGTGCCCTCCCTCCAGACACTCTTGTCTTATCCCAACGTTCTTATCTCATGTCTGCCCAGGCCCTGGGAAAGCCTGGACTCCATCTACACCATGAAACTCGGGTGCGTGTTGGGGTACTGGCCAGCTGAGCCACAGACAGGCAGGCCTTGTGCTCCCTGGACCGTGGCTGGAGGCCAACACACAGTAGGCATCTCTGGGCATCTGTGGACAGAAGGGACAACGCAGCCCCTAAGCAGGTCAGATTAATATTCGCCAAACAAAGAGCAGACGCGGGAGTCCCGAGGCTGGTGCTGGACCAGTGTATTTACAAAGCACGCTCCCCAGCTTCCTCCCTGTGGAATTCCACTTCATATCCCTGCTTGTTTTATGCAAAGCTCTTTCTGAAATAAAACTTGTCACATCATATGAGCTTCAGACAGAACTCAAGACAAATTCTGAGCTTATGTTGAGCTTTGGAAAATGCTGGAACATATAAAATAAAGAGCCACGCATAAAGTATGGAATCCATTTGTCAGGAGAATACACTGGGAAATTATTTATAGGGAAAAAATAGGGAGAGAAATGCATTTGCCATTAACTCATCAAAACTGTCTCCTTGATTCCAGGGGCTTGAAATGCAGGGCCCATTAGGCAAAGTATTCTCATCTCTCCTTATCGGGCCCCAGGGCCTTATTTTATCTCCCATTCAGTTTAAAAAGCTGTCTTTTCTCACATTGCAAATAAGGCAAGAAACAGTCCAAGGAACGTTCTGGGCTCCTTCATGAATTATTTTACTTTAAAGCAGCTTATGAGCAGTGTTGACAATGCCAGCCCTGTGTAGAACAGATCGGACAGCTTTGCAATCTGCATTTGCTGAATTCATGAATGAGGAAACGAGAGCAAGTTAATGAATGGGTGGATGGATGCCTGTGAGGGGCCATGATGCATACAATGCCACGGTACACAGTGTGATGTCTCGTAGTCCCAGGCTATGAGGTCGTCAAGGACAAGTGGTAGGGACGTTGAAGAATATCATTGTGTTAGGAAATGGACCACTGAGTGGGAAGAGCGGGCTTCCAGGCATACATAGCAGCCCAGTGCCGCAGCATTCGGCTTCGTTTCACCCATTTTAATCACGATGGGCCTTCCGGACCAGGCACGTGGGAGGTGATCCTGTTCCGTCTAAGCGGCCAAAGTCCCCCTTTCCTCACAGTCAATGGGCTAATAATTCCTGCAAAGCCTCCGGGACCGTCTATTGAGGAGACCGGAGCTGCTAACACGTGTGAACACTTAGCAGAGGAAAGGCCCCTTCTCCCTCCCGATGAGAAAGAACTGGGAATGAAGGAAGGAGCCCTGGGTTTGACGTCAATACCACCAGCCGGGAACCTGTACAGAGGTGCGAGGTGGGTCTCCCTGGTTCACTTCTCAGTGGGCCTTGTTCTTCATCTTTCAAGTCTGGGTAACGACACCAATTACCATCAAGTCAATTCCAACTCCTGGTGACTTCACGTTGTCAGAGCAGAACTGTGCTGCACAGGGTTTCAAGGGCTGATTTTGGGGAGCAGATCACGAGCCCTTTCTTCTGAGGCACCTCTGGGTGGCCTCAAATTGCCAAACTTTTGGTTAGCAGCCAACATGGTAACCATTTGGACCACCCAGGAATTCCGGGTGTAAAAAGAGCAGCAAGAAATAGACCTGCTGTGAGGAAGAACTGAGTTTATATACATAAAGGTAGTAAAAGCGTGTCTGGCCTGTAGGACGCACCAAAAACAGTGTTAGATCTTACTGTTAGTATCCAACTCGACACACTGTAGACAACGGGGTCTTCCTAAAACACCACATTCGATGGTGGCCTGCACCCTTCTTGGACTGCCACTCAAGGACCTTCATGCTTTGTTCCTAACCCACCCCTCCAGCTGCCCCCTTCCGCTGAAGCCCCCTGCCCTCCTCCACGAGCCACCCTGCACCATCCTGGCCTACAGTTTCTCCCTCTCTGGGGAAGGCTGCCTCTGTCCTCTCTCCAGGCACTCCCTGGCCATATCCTGCCCCACCTGGGGAGCTAAGCTGCCTGCCTCAAACACCACCCTAGAGATAAAGCTGCCTGTACAGCTCCTGGAAACTCCGACTGCACCCAGACACTGGCCAGCTGTTCCATGCTCAGCCCATGGTCTCTGAGGAAATTAGAGGAAAAGACATAACTGGCCCAGCTCTACCTAGGATGTTGCTGATACGCAAGCTGTGATTTTGAGCCAAGTAAAACAAACACTTCAAGAAAGTGCACATTTCTTACTGAGTGGCAGTTCATATTCATTGGCAGTTACCTGTTCGGATATCGTGGTTAACACCTTCTACGGAGATGATGGCATTTGGAATTCCTTTCCCGTGTGGATCTCTCACTATGCCTTTGATGCCACGATGAACCTGCTCAGTGAGTGTGAGGAGAAACAGGGTGAGGTCAGCAACCAGCCCAGGAGACAGCCAGCACCACAAAGTTGGCCTTAAACCTCACAACGCCATGTTTGGCTCAAAAGGCCCACTGGGCTCCAGCAGATTTGGGCCTCACTTCTTTCCTTTGAGCCCTTACACTGGTGTTAAACCAAATATCCCAGAGGTTCAAAGAAATGAGCATCTGACACAGTTCATAAGAATCCATCTGCTCAAAATGGAATTTAAGTTTTTAAAGATGCTAGTGGTGTAGTGCCTAAGGCATCTGACTATTAACCAGAAGGCTGGCGGTTCAAATCCACCAGCCACTCCTTGGTAGGAAGTCTGGGCAATCGACTTCTGTAGAGATACCACCTCGGAAACCCAAGGAGGGGTTGCTATGAGGCAGGGGTCACTGTGAGTCAGATTTGACTCAGCAGCAGTAAGAGTAAGAGATACCAAACCAAACCAAACCCGTTGCTGTAGGGTCAATTCCAACTCACAGCAACCCTACGGGACACTATGCCCCATAGTGTTTCCAAAGCTGTCATCTTTATGGAAGCAGATGGCCACATCTTTCTCCCGCAGAGTGGCTGGTGGGTTTGAACTGCCAATCTTTCAATTAGCAGACAAGCACTAACCACTGCACCACCAGGGTTCCCTAAGACTGTACAGGCACATTTATTTTGAATTTCCTAGAGGATACAGACCAGTGAGAATCAGAGAAGGAACAACAGGTTCAAAGACCTGACAGCTCAGTGTCCAGAGCCCCTCCACAGACGAGCTGTGGCTCATGACCCGTCTTCCCTGAACCTCCTGCCTCCGCTTCCCCATTTATAACTGATGTGACCATCCCAGTGGCACAGTCTTATTCCTGGTTACCTTCTTTAAACATATCACTGTGCCCGGGCATTTGATCCATAGGAGAGGCTTGGGCTAAATCTTAAGAAGAGTTAGGCTGGTCTAGCCAAGGCCTTCTCTTATCATCTCTGTAAATGAAGAAGAATCTTCTCCCACAAAGCAGGATCCAGCTTATGGGAAGGGAGAGTGTTCACAGCCTCCCAAGAGAGAAGAATGAGTTCCATCCTTTCTGTGCCAGGGAGGCCGCAGCAGCCACACTGAGCCCCTGTGACCTTTATCGAGGGATCTACTTCACAGGGGGATGCAGGGCCCATGCCAGCCTTGGCCGCCTGTGCAAGGTGCAGCTGTAAGTACCAGGAGGCTGGCAGCCTGAGCCCCCTGCCAAACGGTCCTTGCAATTCATCCACAACTACCTGGGGGAGAAGGAGTCACCTGTGTCCAGCCTTAGGGTCTTACCTTCCTGTGACTGCTGGGAATTAAAGAACAGACACGTAACTAATACTGAGAGATGTCAGGAACACTAGGGGTCAATGTTAATTTTTCTTTGTTCCTCTGATGTCCAGTTAGTCTGCTCTTTACTGGGACGTGGATTTTATTGGTTTAGTTTTCGCACTAACCTAAACCAAACAAAAAACAAACTCACTGTCATTGAGTTGATTCCAACTCATAGCAATCCTATAGGACAGAGTAGAACTGCCCCCATAGAGTTGCCAGAGCCGATGGGTTTGAACTGCTGACCTTTTGGTTAACAGCTGAATGCTTTAACCACTGCACCACCAAAGCTCCTTAGTGCTAACCTAGAGCCTATTTAATCCTGGTTGCCTCAGGATGGACGTGTCTTGAATGATGGGGAGGGGGGCCCTAAGAGGTTCTGAGGAAAAACCAAACGGTCCCTGTACCCCCCACACACACACAGGAGCATCTCACGGGCACTTGTTAAAATTGTTCCCAAGTAGCTCACCTCAACAGTTGTGACTCAGGGGACCTGCAGGGGCCTGGGCAGGTCGGGTCTTTTCCCAACAAGTACTGAGTGGGGCAGCCATCCCTCCACTCTGCAGGGTAGCACCCCAGAACCCCTGAGCTAGTTTCATCTGCCACCAGTGGGTGGGAGTGTCGTTTCCTGAGAACTCCCTTCCCGGGGGTCTGGTTGTTGTGGAGACAAACAACGGTCCTTTCAGCAATGTCTGTGGTTGGCCCAGGCTGCTGCCCCAGGGCTGAAGTGCGTCCTAAATCATATGCTCCCAGCCCCTCCAATGCCCCATTAGCCACCCTCCTCCCAAGCCTACCTGCTCCATGAACACGATCAGGGATTCGCGGTTGTTCTCCCACTCCTCGGGCAGCTCGCTCTCGTGCGGGTACTTGTCACAGCCCACGTAGATGGACAGCTCAAAGCAATTTGTGTGAAGGTAGCTGAAATCATTGAGACCTGCCAAGCCAACAGGACAACAGCTTGAAATCATTGAGACCTGCCA